TCGTTCGTCTGTCTCTCTCATCGGTCTGATACATCATCTTCTGGTCACTCCAATCGGCGCTAATGGTTGTCCCTACCATCCTCATCTCGTCTCCTCCTTCATCTACAGACATATTAAGATATACACACATCTCTCTCTCTTCTCGTCTCTCCTGCTCTTCTCCTATTAAATAATTAAATTGTTAGTCCTTTAACATTCCGACATCAGTAACCCTCAAGTTTTTTGAGAACTGATACCAATAATCAATTTTAAAAGCACAGAAGACAGATTACTGCAATATCAACATTTTTCATATTTGCTTACACCCCTATTCATTTCCATTCGCTCTCCTTCACAGTTATGCATGCCACTTCCAACTTGTTTATCCACACGACATATTCAATACTCACAACACACACAGCCAATATAACACATCTTCATCTCCCATAACACAAGAAGCATCACACACATGCCCTCCTCCACCACCTCAATCCAACTCGATCACGTGCTCCATCTATGGAAAGTACCGACCCAGAAAATAGGCTTTTAGTGCCATTTCTTAATGTTTACCAGCATATTTTTGATGATTGATTGTGATAATACTGTGAATCAGTTATTTGGTTGACCATGACAGTTTCCATAGTTGCCCCATGCCTAATACATCTATCGTCTAAGAAGTCAAGAATGTGTGGTACTTTTTACTTCGAAGGCTGACCACAGTGCCTTACCATTGGCTGTAATGCCAGAGAGATGGCCACTGGACTTCATGGTGATTCCTCTGATTCTGTTCATCCTCAACCTGCTGTCCAAGGATTACCTCAGCTGGTTAAATGAACACAAGCACATAATAAGCACAAAACAACTAAATGGATTCCTGCACACGTACTAGGTCATTAGAAGCACAAAAGTCACCTCAACCTTCCCCAGCTAGTCGACTTGATATGATGCCCGTTACTTGCCAAACCAGGCAGTCAGCCAGAGTAGTTTTGCCTGTAAGACACAAGTGGTTTGCAAATGCTTCACTACCTTACAGCATAACACATACATGTGTTTGGCCAACACCAAATCCATCTAACATTTAAAAAAAACCCACAAGAATTTTCTTGGTCTATATAGTTTTTTGAAATATTTTTTGCAGTACTATTTACCCCAATCAAATTTCAAATTGACGCCAAGGTGTGTTTGTCACGACCATACAGTATGTCACAGAAGACAGTAATAGACTTACATAGTGCATCCAATAGACCTTGAAGCTGTTCCAAGTTAGCACTCAGTGGTTGATCTGGCAACTGGACAGTCCAACCTTATGAATGTTGACGTGTTATGTAATTAAACGATTGTACTTGTATGACCCTGCCAAATTTAAAGAGTGTAATTATATAACAATTCAGGATATGGCTTTATTAATGTTTTATTATAGTAGTATTATAGTTTTTTTTTATTTGGGTTTGCCAATAATCTGCACGGTAAAGAACTAAGGACCAATCAGGGGTGATGAGAACTCACCAATGATCAACATGTGCCTAAGGATGCACAGGTTTCTGGTGTGCAGGGTTCCCTCTTTCAGGGCAAATGATCTTTGTCCAGGCTGGTTAGTCCCATTGGCGAGCACCTGAAAACCAAGTGACAGCACTAAACATAGAGCTGGTAGCTTAGAACCTGCTTTAAAGCTGCTCATTTGTCACTCATAATAAAACTGGAATGCTGGCTTTAAAGGTCCTTGTTTATGTGTTTTGTGTTCCATTTATGTGCAGCCAGAGGCCTTTTCCAGTGAGCCAACAGTGCCACAATATCAACAACCTGCCCACTGTTGAGCTGAATGAACCTTCATCAGGGTTCCAACCTGCTAACACCTGTGCTGTTCTTACTTCAGGGCATAATGGCGGCTGGGAGAAAGGGGGTATAATGTTTCGTTTTGGAGATGGATAAAGTAGTTAGGTGAGTAATTTGCTAAACATTATCGGCAGAGAAATGTGTGTGTCTGAAGTAAGATATATATGACAGTTAGCCTTAAGTGGAGCATTAGCAAACGAGAAGTTACTACCGTTACAGTTAGGAAGCAGCCGGGTTAGCCACCCTGTTTGTTGTCGTTTTACTGGGGCGACACCCTGAACGACCGCAACCGCTACAATCAGGAACGGTGGAAGTGATAACAGTGACAGTACTGTTGACAGCCTACGTTACACTAGCACAAAGTTAACTACAGTGCAAGTGCTTGTTCTTGCTTACCCGCCAACAGCTAGCAGCGGGCTGTATTTACACAATACAGATTTAAACTGTAACGTTACAACATAAACACAAACAAACAGGTCCATGCGGTGCTCTCCACTGATTTATCTGTGGGTTTTAAACGCCGGGGACATCTCTAACACTGTGGCTTACTTCATCCCAGACTGTCTTCACAAGAAAGACATAAAAAACATAACCTGGTCTCTAATAAGTCTCCACACGAACCCCACTATAACCCACCTGCGCGCTGTATCGACTTAAATGTATAAGATCATTGTGAAAAATAAGACGCATATTTTAAAGAAATGTGGACGCCACTCCCAGACTCCACGTTGTTTTCCCGAAGTTGATAAAGGCAAACGTAAACCGGACGCCCGTTTGCTAAACATTGGTGTGCTGCATTCACGGTACACTGGTAAAGATGAAACTTATCCTGGGATTTTTTTAGCTTGTACTTGTCAGATACAATTAGGGAGTAGGTTTATATACTATTAATATGAAACACCGCTTAACTCAGCTGTGAATTTTTGCAACAGATAATTTGTTTCAGTGTCAAAAACTGTTTTAACGACTTTTCTACTACTAGTTACTCGTGTGTGATGTGTGTGTATGTATAATATTTATATATATATATATATATATACTAGTATATATATATATATTATATAGAATATACTATTACCTCTTTGAAACACTTCTAACACACAACACAAACACCTACACATCTACACAACACACCGTCTGACTCTTCATAAAATCGTTTAGTTAAAGTAACTCCCAGTAAGCAGTGCAATATTCTTGAGAGAGAGAGTCAACTGACCCTTTAATTAAATGCTACAGCTCCCAGTTCGTATGTCATGGTCAAAAAAATCTTCGGGGTAACATTTGATTAATGGGCTCAAATTTGACAACAAGATTAGCTCTGTTGTCAGCTCCAAGCTTTTTTTCAGCTCCGTCTTTTGCCAAAGTGAAGTCTTTTCTCAGTCGGCAGGATCTCGAAAGAAGGCAATCCATGCTTTCATCAGTTCTAGACTGGACTACTGCATGCCCCCTTTAAGCGTTGGCCTCAGTCAGTCATCAATTTCTCGTCTCCAACTTTGCCAGAACGCTGCTGCCCGATTTTTAACAAGTCACGTCCAGACGTGAACACATTTAACTCGCGCGAGTGCTGTCGTCACTCCACTACACCAGTCTGTTAAGATTGATTTTAACTCCTGCCTGTTTTTTTAAACGGCCATCTATGGCTTGGCCCCCCTCCTTACTTGTCTGAGATTTTAACTTTTCCGCGAATTGTGGCAGAGCCCTGCGCCTCCTCCGGGTCAGCTTCTGTTAGAGGTGCCGTGAGGTCAAGACTTAAACAGTGGGGCGATCGTTCTTTTTGCCGTTCGCTGCAAATGCCAGACTGTGGACAAACGCCCCCAGTGACATTCGCACCACTACTGATCTAGCCTTTTTTAAATCGAAGCTTAAGACCCACTTTTTTAAAATTAGCAATTTAAATTCTTGACTAGGGCAATACTGTCTCTTAGGTGTCTCCCTTCCTGTCTGCCCCACCATGCTATGCCATTTCATGAAGGCTTTTAAGTTGCCCTGCAGCGCTGCACCACCTACAGCCACTTTTAATTGTATCTGTATGTTTTGTATGGTTTATGTATTGTTTTATGGCTTTGTGTAAAGCACTTTGGTACCTTTCGACTATTGTAAAGGCTATACAGACCTCAAACTGATTGATTGATTGATTTGACTATGTGTGTTTGTGCGTGTCGTTGTGTGTGTGTGTGTGTTTATTATTACTATATTATATATGTAATGATATATAATACTATACCTATACTATTAACTTTTTGAAACACTTCCCCTCCCTGGTAGGAGGCTGCAGTCCAAACCTCAAACCTTGTTTCTTTTGTCCATCTGCAGCTGGCCTCATCATCAAGGCCCTGACTGACAACTGACCCTTAAACCCACCCTGTATATATTCATTACAATTAATGGCAACTCCCGTTTTCTGTACAGATTTCTTATTTTTCTTGTCTTGCTTGTCTTTATTTATTTATATTGAAAGTACTTTATTCTTGTGATTTTTGTGTATTTGTATATTTTTTGATGTGATTTGTATATTTTAATGCCCAATGCATTAAGGAAAATTCCTCGTATGTGTAACAAAAACCTACCTGGCAATTACTTAATTCTTGAATTCTACTAACAAAGAAATGCATTCACTAAAAAACATGTGGCTGTTGAAAGCAATAATAGTCGCTCAATTATGTGGACCGCTGTGTGGGTGCTGGGTTAGCAGATGGAAGAACAATTTCTAAAAAAAAAATTCAAAGATTGTAGAATTACATTTAGATATAGTTTATCTTTATGCTACTTTAAAAGAAAAATTATTGAGTCACAAAGAAATTAATGCTCTTCTGGGACAATCTTCTTGTGTCTCTTACTGTTTGTATACTGTTTCTTTTTTCTCTATCCACTTTGCTGCTGCAACATCGGAATTTCCCCATTGTGGGACAAATAAAAAATATCTTATCTTAAAAGTGAAATTGTATTCTTTGGGCCCTATTCAAACAGTCTGTAACTCATGGCCTAAAGTGCATGGTGCGAGTACATTTAGGGTGTTTCCAACTTTTGCTACTGAAATGGTGCACAATCAGCGTGGCAAAGTAAGGTGCAAGGCACAAAAGGGGTTAATTTAATTCTGTAATAATCATAGGTATTTTTGGAACGTAACATGAATTAAATCAGATCCCAAATCCGAGTGTTAACCCCCATTCTCTTTAAAAGACTCAGCAAATTTGAGAAGCTGCTCGTCACTCCAGCCAAGCTGTAACATACATCTGGCATTAGCCAACAAATCATCTGAACGAAGATTGCAGATATGTGTTACAGCCTGGTGGGAGAAGTGACGAGCAGCTTCTCCAGGTATGTGTCCCGTCCTCAACTTCATTTGACTGCATAATGAGCAAATGCACTGATATTTAACTGTGCAGGAGTGCTGCTGCATGTTACTGTGTGTGTAACAAGCAGAGTGTAGTCTATGTAGGCACCTCTTCCTAAATAATGCGGCCTTAGATATCAGGAAAATACATGAGGCAGCTTTCTGCTGCCTCATGATGTGCCTGACCACACCTCATTTTAAGACCAACACACCCATGGGTGCACAGATGGTAGCAAGAACATTTGCTTTTTACAGAACGTGGGCGCTGGGTATGAAAATGACAACAGTGTCGATCAGAAACCAGCAATGACAGTGCACCAGGTGTAATCACTGAAGTTAGGGATGCATGATAGGGATTTTTTTTTTTTCAGCCGATGTGATAATGGATAACTACCTGCTTCTTGTGGCCAATACTAATAAGATAACTGGTAATATCACATTTTTGTATTTTAAAAAGAAGTTCTGATGTTCATAACCTGTAGTTGTAGTTGATGGTAAGAAAGGCTGATGATTTAATATTCTGTTGCTCTGTTATAACCTAACTGACATCCCTTGTTAACAGTTCGGACTCTTCAAATGTTGATATATTTTTTCTAGTAAAGTAAATCAATAAACTTCACAAACATACTGTTTGCATAATAATTATTATTTTGGGCTAATAATTTATTGGCTGTAATTTGTGCGCGTGTTCTTGCTTGTAGGTGAACGCAGTGACAGGGAGCCTGTTCACATCCAAAGTGCTGGAGGAGCGAGCAGAGAAAGAGAAGGAGGAGGAGGAGAAAGAAAGCGAGACGTCGAGCGGAGACCAGGTTTACGACTGGAGCACTGGGCTGGAGGAGGCAGACGACTCCCAGCTCTACTTTTCTCCTGACCAGGGAAATGTGGTCTTTGCCAGCGCCATAGATGGATGGGGTTTCAGGTGAGGATGGTCCCTTCTTAAGCTGCATCAGTGGTGTGCACAGTGTGGAAGGAAAAGTTCTCAGATGCAATGAGATTCTAAAGCAGTGGTGAATAAAAACAAGTAGTACTTACTATATGTATAGTTGTACTTTTTAATGAAGTAAAACAAAACTTCAGGATATAATTTCAGTGGCAGAGGATTATTAGCTCCAGAGGGCAGTTGAGTCATACTATCAAGCACTACACAACATACATCATAAAAACAAATGAAAACAAAGGTTCAGTGCGCTCGAAAATATACAAACATGCAAAGTGTAGTTGCAGAGGAAAGTAGTGTTTATATGTGCTGAGCTTATCGTGGACAGGCAGTTGTTAATGCCAGAAGGATGAGAGAGAACTGGTCACAGTCTGATCCCTCTGTCAGGTGTCGTTTCACCAAAGCTCTGACGCATGTCTGCTTCGCCTCAATGATCATACTGCTCAATAATATGGATTAGTTCATTTGTCTGTTGGATGTTCAAGTTGTAAATCCAACAAATCAATATAAAAATGTTTTTTAAATCGGTTTTGGAGAACGGGCAGCTTGGAAATGTTCATTTTAGCAAAATAGTTTTGTAGAATAGTAACGTAGTATTATCATATACTGTCACAATTTTATTCAGAGTTGAATGACATGATCTGAATAATAATAATAATACATTTT